ATATTCGAAGCTTGGACTTGTCACCAGTGGGGTACCTCAGGGATCTGTACTTGGACCCATTCTCTTTAATATTTTTATTAGTGATATTGCAGAAGGTCTTGATGGTAAGGGATGTCTTTTTGCTGATGATACTAAGATTTGTAACAGGGTTGATGTTCCAGGAGGGATAAGCCAAATGGCAAATGATTTAGGTAAACTAGAAAAATGGTCAGAGTTGTGGCAACTGACATTTAATGTGGATAAGTGCAAGATAATACACTATTGATGTAAAAACCCAAGGGCAGAGTATAGGATATTTGATACCCTACCAACCTCAACATCTGAGGAAAGGGATTTAGGGGTAATTATTTCTGATGACTTAAAGGTAGGCAGACAATGTAATAGAGCAGCAGGAAATGCTAGCAGAATGCTTGGTTGTATAGGGAGAGGTATTAGCAGTAGAAAGAGGGAAGTGCTCATGCCATTGTACAGAACACTGGTGAGACCTCACTTGGAGTATTGTACACAGTACTGGAGACCGTATCTTCAGAAGGATATTGATACCTTAGAGAGATTTCAGAGAAGGGCTACTAAACTGGTTCATGGATTGCGGGATAAAACTTACCAGGAAAGGTTAAAGGATCTTAACATGTATAGCTTGAAGGAAAGACGAGACAGGGGGGATATGATAGAAACATTTAAATATATAAAGGGAATCAACACAGTAAAGGAGGAGACTATATTTAAAAGAAGAAAAACTACCACAACAAGAGGACATAGTCTTAAATTAGAGGGACAAAGGTTTAAAAATAATATCAGGAAGTATTACTTTACTGAGAGGGTAGTGGATGCATGGAATAGCCTTCCAGCTGAAGTGGTAGAGGTTAACACAGTAAGGGAGTTTAAGCATGCGTGGGATAGGCATAAGGCCATCCTAACTATAAGATAAGGCCAGGGACTAATGAAAGTATTTAGAAAATTGGGCAGACTAGATGGGCCGAATGGTTCTTATCTGCCGTCACATTCTATGTTTCTATGTTTCTATGTAATCTTACCACTGGATACTTTATATTAATTAATCTAGAATATACCTAAAAGGACACTCCAGACCCATAAGCCACTTTAACTTGCTGAACAGCTTTGTGTACAGTCTTAGTTTTATTTTGCAAAGGTGCAGATTTCAATATAAATTTACTCTTTTAGAAATTACCCCTCTTACAACCACTGGCTTTCATGAAGACAGCTATTTTTATATACCCCAATGAAAAACTGCCTGCTGTTAGTTGGGATAAACAGAATTAGAATCATGCCTGCTGTTAGTTGGGATATACAGAATTAGAATCATGCCTGCTGTTAGTTGGGATATACAGAATTAGAATCATGCCTGCTGTTAGTTGGGATATACAGAATTAGAATCATGCCTGCTGTTAGTTGGGATATACAGAATTAGAATCATGCCTGCTGTTAGTTGGGATATAGAATTAGAATCATGCCTGCTGTTAGTTGGGATATACAGAATTAGAATCATGCCTGCTGTTAGTTGGGATATACAGAATTAGAATCATGCCTGCTGTTAGTTGGGATATACAGAATTAGAATCATGCCTGCTGTTAGTTGGGATATACAGAATTAGAATCATGCCTGCTGTTAGTTGGGATATACAGAATTAGAATCATGCCTGCTGTTAGTTGGGATAAACAGAATTAGAATTATGCCTGCTGTTAGTTGGGATATACAGAATTAGAATCATGCCTGCTGTTATTTGGGATATACAGAATTAGACTCATGCCTGCTGTTATTTGGGATATACAGAATTACAATCATGTCTGCTGTTAGTTGGAATATATACAGAATTAGAATCATGCCTGCTGTTAGTTGGAATATACAGAATTAGAATCATGCCTGCTGTTAGTTGGAATATACAGAATTAGAATCATGCCTGCTGTTAGTTGGGATATACAGAATTAGAATCATGCCTGCTGTTAGTTGGGATATACAGAATTAGAATCATGCCTGCTGTTAGTTGGGATATACAGAATTAGAATCATGCCTGCTGTTAGTTGGGATATACAGAATTAGAATCATGCCTGCTGTTAGTTGGGATATACAGAATTAGAATCATGCCTGCTGTTAGTTGGGATATACAGAATTAGAATCATGCCTGCTGTTAGTTGGGATATACAGAATTAGAATCATGCCTGCTGTTAGTTGGGATATACAGAATTAGAATCATGCCTGCTGTTAGTTGGGATGTACAGAATTAGAATCATGCCTGCTGTTAGTTGGAATATACAGAATTAGAATCATGCCTGCTGTTATTTGGGATGTACAGAATTAGAATCATGCCTGCTGTTAGTTGGGATGTACAGAATTAGAATCATGCCTGCTGTTAGTTGGGATGTACAGAATTAGAATCATGCCTGCTGTTAGTTGGGATGTACAGATTTAGAATCATGCCTGCTGTTATTTGGGATATACAGAATTAGAATCATGCCTGCTGTTAGTTGGGATATACAGAATTAGAATCATGCCTGCTGTTATTTGGGATATACAGAATTAGAATCATGCCTGCTGTTATTTGGGATATACAGAATTAGAATCATGCCTGCTTTTAGTTGGGATATACAGAATTAGAATCATGCCTGCTGTTAGTTGGGATATACAGAATTAGAATCATGCCTGCTGTTAGTTGGGATATACAGAATTAGAATCATGCCTGCTGTTAGAATCATGCCTGCTGATATACAGAATTAGAATCATGCCTGCTGTTATTTGGGATATACAGAATTAGAATCATGCCTGCTGTTAGTTGGGATATACAGAATTAGAATCATGCCTGCTGTTAGTTGGGATATACAGAATTAGAATCATGCCTGCTGTTAGTTGGAATATATACAGAATTAGAATCATGCCTGCTGTTAGTTGGGATATACAGAATTAGAATCATGCCTGCTGTTAGTTGGGATATACAGAATTAGAGTCATGCCTGCTTTTAGTTGGGATATACAGAATTAGAATCATGCCTGCTGTTAGTTGGGATATACAGAATTAGAATCATGCCTGCTGTTAGTTGGGATATACAGAATTAGAGTCATGCCTGCTTTTAGTTGGGATATACAGAATTAGAATCATGCCTGCTGTTAGTTGGGATATACAGAATTAGAATCATGCCTGCTGTTAGTTGGGATATACAGAATTAGAATCATGCCTGCTGTTAGTTGGGATATACAGAATTAGAATCATGCCTGCTGTTAGTTGGGATATACAGAATTAGAATCATGCCTGCTGTTAGTTGGGATATACAGAATTAGAATCATGCCTGCTGTTAGTTGGAATATATACAGAATTAGAATCATGCCTGCTGTTAGTTGGGATATACAGAATTAGAATCATGCCTGCTGTTAGTTGGAATATACAGAATTAGAATCATGCCTGCTGTTAGTTGGGATATACAGAATTAGAATCATGCCTGCTGTTATTTGGGATATACAGAATTAGAATCATGCCTGCTGTTATTTGGGATATACAGAATTAGAATCATGCCTGCTTTTAGTTGGGATATACAGAATTAGAATCATGCCTGCTGTTGGGATATACATAATTAGAATCATGCCTGCTGTTGGGATATACAGAATTAGAATCATGCCTGCTGTTATTTGGGATATACAGAATTAGAATCATGCCTGCTGTTATTTGGGATATACAGAATTAGAATCATGCCTGCTTTTAGTTGGGATATACAGAATTAGAATCATGCCTGCTGTTGGGATATACATAATTAGAATCATGCCTGCTGTTGGGATATACAGAATTAGAATCATGCCTGCTGTTATTTGGGATATACAGAATTAGAATCATGCCTGCTGTTAGTTGGGATATACAGAATTAGAATCATGCCTGCTGTTAGTTGGGATATACAGAATTAGAATCATGCCTGCTGTTATTTGGGATATACAGAATTAGAATCATGCCTGCTGTTATTTGGGATATACAGAATTAGAATCATGCCTGCTTTTAGTTGGGATATACAGAATTAGAATCATGCCTGCTGTTATTTGGGATATACAGAATTAGAATCATGCCTGCTTTTAGTTGGGATATACAGAATTAGAATCATGCCTGCTGTTAGTTGGGATATACAGAATTAGAATCATGCCTGCTGTTAGTTGGGATATACAGAATTAGAATCATGCCTGCTGTTAGTTGGGATATACAGAATTAGAATCATGCCTGCTGTTAGTTGGGATATACAGAATTAGAATCATGCCTGCTGTTAGTTGGGATATACAGAATTAGAATCATGCCTGCTGTTATTTGGGATATACAGAATTAGAATCATGCCTGCTGTTAGTTGGGATATACAGAATTAGAATCATGCCTGCTTTTAGTTGGGATATACACACTAAACAGTGATTTTAATTTATTTTGTATTTGCGCAGTGGAGCGTCAATGTAATCCAGTTGTCTGAACACCTGCAAACCCTTCTACATTCTACAGAAATATAAACATTTATTAAGAACGAATGTACATATATTTACTAAATATTATTTAAAACTGAGTAACTATTAAGTATTTAAAACCACATACATTCACATTACGGCTGAGTCTGTGGGAGTGGACATTAGTAAAACATAATCGTGGAACTTGAAAACATTGAAACCAATATCTACCATCGATATATAGAGTCATTCAGATATAACCACCCAACGATGAATGTAAGATCATCTAATGATACATTTACTTTAAATATTATCCCATTGTTAAGCAGTATTTGCACTAAAGCGCATCGTTGTATTTAAGTCCATTTTAGCTATGATAGTGCATAGACTTTGCGGACCGTCCCCTTCCTGTGCCAAATAATTTGCGAGCCATTAGACATACCCATGGCTATACCAGCCTCTCTAAAATGACTTCTATTATCTTGGAAGATACATTGGAGTTTACTCTCAATCTGTCTTTGCCACCCTGAGATGGAGTAATGCCCATTAGCTGAGGTGCAGCCGAGGAGTTGAGTAATTCCTGTTAAGTGAGCCTTGATTTACTCAGAAAAGGTTTGACACACATGGACCAGGGCACCCACGCAGTCAGTCGACCCAGTGCTGTGCGTTTCCAGTGCCCCTTTAATGCCCCTGGCATTAAAACACATTTTCTGACATTTGTTTCCTACAGAAAACCAACAGTCCCTTTCAATTCGAGGTTGCTCTACGAAGAGTGTTTGTGATAATCTACTAACATCCTCGGTCACCGGATTCACAGATACAAATGTCAAGTTCTTCTGTACTATGCCCGGAGAATCTGGTCAGTATCGAGACCTTTATAATTCATTAACTTATTGTTCTGTGTAGAATATTGCATATTCTATG